CTATTCTCATATTTAGCACATAGGATTCTCTATCCTGTCCCAAAAAGTAACATGCGCATAATCATATCGGCAGCAGTTTATTATTCAACTGGTCTACCCTCTAAACAAGGGGAAAAGATATGTTCTCTTGAATGCAGAACTGCAGAGTTCCAAACAACCAACGTTGGCAGAAAATAATTAAGCTGAAAATAAGGCAGCTCATTTTCTTGATCTCACTGAAGCCTTAAGATTTCATCTCCAGTCCCATGCATGTATCTAAAGGTGTTGTTTGGTTTCATTGGTACGAATGAACAAACGGCAGCAGTGAACAAAAGCCATCGATAGCAGTTTACAGATCCATTACGTACCCTGAGAGTAGCAGCGCTTTGGCCTTGAGCAAACGGAGATGCATTGCGCTGGAGGAGGAGGATCAATCAACCAAGCCTGAGAGCAGCAACGGGGCGATGATTCAGTGAGGAAGAAAGATCGGAGACGGTGCCGGCGCCGGCGGACCTCCAGGAAGGGCTCGGCCTACCGGTGGCGGCGACCTGGATGGGGACGAATCGCGCCGTCACCGCGGCGGCCTGGGTACAGCCCGAGAAACCAAGAGGGTCGAGGAGTTGAGCCGCTGAGGGTTCACCGAACTGCGGATGGGATGGGACTGGATAGGGGGGAAACGGCTAATGCGAACCCTAATTTGCTCGTGCACTCGCAGATCGCAGCAGCGGCCGCAATGGCGGCCGATGCCTTCCAGCTAACGAAGCAGTGGGATTTAACCAGCCAACGTCAGCGGCGGCAATGTGCAATTAGGGCATCTCCAGGACGGAAGCAACCGCGTACGTCCGAATGTGTTATCCACGCATCTTATTGGTCTGTGGACCGGTTGGGACGTCTGTTTTCTGGCATACCAGACACTAATTAGAGGTTCTTACGGGCGCCCGGACCGCTGCCATGTACGCGTCCGTCACCACTAGGTCCCATCCAAAAACCTCTCCCACCTCTGCGCCTCTCCCTCGCGAAGCGGTTGCCGTGCATTTATGCCGGTCCACAGTGTCAATTCATGTCGGCCTAGAGCGAACACTTCTTTTCACTAGAGCTGACATTGAAGCGGTGCGCATACGAGAGCGCCGCCCGCGCCGCGTCCCAGTCTCTGCGCCTGTTCAATGCCGGAGCGACGTGACTAAACGGGACAGCAATCTACCACATTCATAGTGGCTGCCTCGTTCGTCCACTTACTAGCATTAAACTGACACGACAATCGAGAAACCAACTCCGCACCCGGATGTTGACACGTCTCACCGCTTTGTATGGCCGGCACCCTCTATTTAAACGTGGCCTTGCCCGACACCATCCGCATCACAAACATGTCCGCTCTCAACCATCCTCCGTGCACCACATCCGCAAGAACCTCAAGCTCTAGAGCTATGTGGGAGAGACTCTTGACAGTGAAAAAGCGTGAGTTAGCCGACCTGCCGGCGACCTCGTCCGAAGGGAGCACGACA